TAAAATCCTCCTCCATTCCTTTATTACCTCCAGACTTGACAATCCCAGGTCATTCCTAGCTGGCCTCCCATCTTCCATCCTCCATTACCTTGGGGTCATCCACAACCATCTAACAACTTGAAACCAAGTCTGTTTGAGAATTAACCTGTAATTTCTGGCCTTTATTGTCTCCAGATTAAGCAATGCCTCAATGCTGAGGATTTTATCTTTGTTCCCAAAGCCCTGGATGGCCTCATCCTACTCCACCAGCACTGAAACATTCCAAGATGTCTATGCTCCCCTAATTCTGACTTCTTGTGTATTCCAAATTCTACTGGTGGCCATATCTTCAGCTCAAAGATCCTAAGCCCTGGAATTTGCATAATAAACCACTCCATCGGTTTACCTCGTTTCCTCCTTTAAGAGGGTCCTTAAGACCTACATCCTCCACCAAGCATTTGGTCATCTGGCCTAATATTTTATGTAAGTGTCAGGTTTTGACTGATAATATTCCTGCCAAATATGTTGAAATAGATTCTTTATAAATAATAATTGTGATCAAATGCATGTTGCTCTTGTTGAAAAAGATCCTATTGTTTTTTTTGATGAAAGGTGGCTGGGGGTTCAGCTGGTCAACATTTATGACTTAGCCAACCATCAGGACTGATTGCCTGGTCATTTTCCTGTTGTTGTTTATGGCATTTTCCCACACACAAATTGATCACCATTTGTCTGTGTGACAATAGTTCTGAAGTAAATCATCAGTCCTACAGCATTCTTGCATATTCTTGTGGAGAGCTTTGTTTCTTTTATGCAACCAAATTAGAGTCATTGAGCTATATTCATAATGGAACAGAAGGAGGCCACTTGACCCATTGAGGTCATGCTAGCTTTCCTACTCAGTCCCATTACCCTGCAACCCTGCCAGTTCAATTCCTTCAATTTGCTTATCCAATTTCTTGTCTCTGCTTCCAACTCTCTTGTAGGCAATGAGTTTCACATCTTTGTGTAAAAATTTTCTTCCTTGTATCTCTTCATAGAATCCCTACAGTGTGGAAACAGGCCATTCAGCCCAATGGGTCCACACCGACCTCCTGAACAGCATCCCACCCAGACCCATCCACATCCCCAACAACCCAGCATTTCCAATGGCCAACTCGCCCAGCTTGCACATCCTTGAACACTATGGGCAATTTTGCATCCACCTAATTTGCAAATCTTTGGACTGTGGGAGGAAACCGAAGCATCTGGCAGAAACCCACACAGCTATGGGGAGAATGTGAAAACTTCACACAGACAGTCACCTGAGGGTGGGATCGAATCGGGGTTCCCAGTGCTGTGAGGCAGCAGTGCTAATCATTTAGCCACCATGCCATCCTCTTGTTCAAAACCTTTTCCCTTGAATCAGGAAGAATGTTAGTAAGTTTGCAGATACCACCAAAATCAGTCGTGCAGTGGACAGTGAAGAAGGTTATCTCAGGGTACAATAGGGCCTTGATCAGACAGGCTGAGGAATGGCAGATGGAGTTTAATTTAAATAAATGTGAGGTTTATTCAGACAAATCAGGACACAACATATACACTTAATGGTAAAGTCCTGGGGAGTTGCCAAAGAGACCTTGGAGTGCAGGTTCATAGTTCCTTGAAGGTGAAGAAGGTGTTTGGTACACTTGCCTTTATTGGTCAAGTGCATTGAGTATAGGAGTTGGGGTGTCATGTTGCAGCTGTACAGGACACTGGTGAGGCCACATTTGGAATACTGCGTTCAATTCTGGTCTCCCTGCTATAGGAAAGATGTTGTTAAACTTGAAAGGATTCAGAAGGATGCTGCTTATAGAAGTTTATAAAATCACAAGGGGCATGGATAGGGTGAATAGCCAAGTCTTTTTCCCCCAGAGTAGGGGAGTCAAAAACTAGAGGGCATGGGTTTAAGATGAGAGGGGAAAAATATAAACGGGACCTAACAGGTAACTTTTTCCTCACAGAGGGTGGCGTGTTAATGGAACGTGCTACCAAAGGAGGTGGTGGAGGCTGATACAATTACAACATTTAAAAGGCACCTGGATGGGTACATGAATAGGAAGGGTTTAGAAGGATATGGGCTAAATGCTGGCAAATGGGTCCAAATTAATTTTTTTTGTCAGCATGGACAAGTTGGACCAAAGGTCTGTTTCCATGCTATACATCTCTTCAATTCAGTCTAGAGAAGATTAATCACACATTGATCACCCCATTCTCATTTCATAATTTGCTTCTGGCAACGTAGAGAATTTCGAAATGCAGGTTTGACCCCACTTAACCAATACGGGCCATTTAATCTGCTGTGCCTCTTATCGCTTACCAACTGTGACGATGTGCTGCACTAAGGTTCACTTGGGTTGCTTCATAATAAATAAAAATGTGCCAGCTGTGGCTCAGTGACAGCAATTGAAATCTCATTGCAGAGACCTGAGTACATAATCTTGGCTGCCACTCCAGCGCAGTTCTGTGGGAGTGCTGCTGTTTTATGAATAAGGCATAAAACGAGGCCCTTGTCAATCTTCTTGGATGAATGTAATAAATCCCGTGGTACTGTTGCAAATTAAAGCTCTTCCTCAGACACTCAACTAAAACCTTAAACGGATTATCTAGCTTTTTATCACCTTGTTGTTGGAGGTAGCTTCAGGTGTGTAATTTGATAGTTGAGTTTCCTTCATTATAACAATGACTGCACTTCAAAAGTACTTCATTGATGGTGAAACTACTTGACGAAGTGTTGAAAGGTGCTATGTAAATGTTAGATTTTTTTTCCTAAAGGGAGTACCCCATGCATAGAGACAAATGAAGATGGTAGTCTTTGGGGATAGATTCAGTCAAAGCAAACACGTCTGGAGCACGTGACCTTCACATATCACGTGATCACAGTGCCACGTGGGTGCGCGCGGCCTTGTTATTGTTTGTATCCAAACGTGTGGCGCGTGCGCGGACGGCCCGCGCGACCCCGGCCCATCTTTATGAATCAAAGCCGCTAACGGCCGCGCGTGCCCGGGGGTGGCGCGCACCTCCTCCCCACGTGGTCGCGCTCCCGCTTCAAACACAAACATTCGGCGCCGCTTATTGGACGCGCGCGGGCGAAAAACCGGCCACGGGAGACAGAACCGTAACAGACAGCGATATTACACCTGGACCGGGATTACACCGGGAGGGGGAACGGGGCTGGGACTGTACGGGGATTGGGATCCCTCACCGGGAGGGGGAACGGGGCTGGGACTGTACCAGGATTGGAATCCCGCACCGGGGCTGGGGCTGTACCGGGATTGGGATCCCGCACCG